GACAAACAGGCAAGGCCGCACATGCCAGGCGACATGGCTTCGTGTGCCACTTTGGGCACGCGTGCCATAGGTTTGGATATAGGAGTATATTTGTAGCTCAAGATTGAAATGATGGGTCCTTGGTGCTCTGAACTTGGCTGGAGTTTTTTTTGCAGGTATTTCATTACCCAAACTTGGTAACATCATCTGTACCTGCTTGGAGCAGGCAGGCCGAGCCCCCAACGAAAGCAGTGAAGCCATTAATGAGAAACCAGCATTTGAGGCAGTTTGGCCACCACTCCCCAGTTTTATCTGCTAGGGGTTCTCCTCACATGCTGTCTCATCAAGGAAGCCACAGAATCAGAATCCGGGAGTCACCCCAAGGCTCATCGCTTTATGCCCAACTGCCCTTAGAAATGGGTAGACCAAAGGAAGCTCAGCCCCAGGGCCAGCCCAGGTGGCTCTGTGCCTCAGAAGAAGAAACAGCAACGCCTTGGAGTTCCTCACCCAAGATGGGAGCTACCAGAAGTTCAAGAAATGGTTTTGACTTGCCCCAGTCGCCCCTTCAAAGTCCAAGCCGCCGGAAGGACTTCCTTCAGCGCATAGGTCAGCCTCTGGCTGGAATGGTTCAGCCTGCTTCTTCCGTTCAGTTCCTTCCTGGAGAAAGAAGACGACATTTAGAAGAGGAGAATCCGTATCTTGCGGAGTTTGGTCCAGAAGAGGCTCAAGCTTTCTCAAGGCAGCCGTTTCCCCAGCATTCTCCAGCTGCTGTGGCCTCAATGAAGCAGAAGACAGAGGCCAGGTCTGTCAGATCTTCTAAAGAGGCCCGTAAGCTCTCGGGTGGACATTTCTCCTGCACCGTCCCTGGTGATCATCGTGGCAGTTTGAGGAGGCCCAATCTCAGCCCCATGTCTCAGAGAACAGTTTCATTCCAAAGACCCTACACTTTGGAGGAAGAAGGCTCCCCTTCGGCCAGACCGCCCTCCGTTCGCAGCCAGTATAACAAGCCGAGGAGACCAGATTTTGCCCACGGACCTCCTGAGCTTCTAGAACACGACGTGGAAGGAGGCATAGGGAGATATGCCGTGGTGATGCCCCAAGTCCAACCGATGGGTCCTTGGAGAAGGTCCCGGAGGCAGAACCAGCCGTGGTCCGAGTATCACACAGTGAGCGTTCGTGAGATGCCGAACGGTTGGGCCTCGGAGAAGCTCTTCCAGCAGCCTCCAGCGGAGAGTTTTAGGGCTCAGGGGGCTCATCGTGGGGGAGGAAGAGGAAGAGGGAATGGAGTGTTCTGGTACCTGACGCGGGGAGCCTCTGGGCCCAAGAGGGAATATGGAGAAACCAGCCAGAATTGGCAATGCAAGGTAATTGAAAGGGTTCCACTCTGCTGGATATTGAAGAGGGTCTGAGGGAGGCAGAACCTGGGGGGGGGGGGGAGTGAGAATTGGAAAAGTTTTTATTTTATTCTCTTACCTACGATTATAGGTATACATTCACATAGTTCTTCTTCTTCTTTACATCTGTCATTCTTATACATNTGTGTGTGTGTATGCATATGTACACACACACAAACACACACGGAACTACCCTAAAGATATGAGCTCAAGGTATAGCTATAAAAGAAGAGACAGACATTGCGATCTCCGGAACTTAGAATATATTTACCCACTTAGCTTCCAGAGTGTAAAAAACTACCATTGAAGAGATATTGGCTTTCTACGTCATTAATCAATCTGGCCATTGTGTGTGTGTGATAGGCCCACCAACCCACCTCCGTTTTTGCTTCAGGCATGTTAATCGATGGAGGCTTAGCTCCCGTCACTTCCTCCCCGCAATGTCGGTCTCTTCTTTTCTAGGTATGTGTGTGTGTGCATGTATACACACACACATATATACATAAGTACGTATGTACACATACATACACATATATATGTTTTGTGTATATAAACATATATGTGCACATGTATATTGCATGTGCCTGTTCTGGTTTATACATTCCCTAAATACAGTAAACGGGATACTGCATAAATGAACTGTTTCCTTTTCCGTTGCCTCATCGTTCTGATATTTTACTTTCGCTTTGTTTAAACTCCCTTTTTATTTCTCCGTTTCTTGTATGGTTGTGAGCCCCCTAGGGTCGCCCATGCTGAGAAAGGCAGCAAATAGATTTAATAATAACTGATGCCTCCAGTATGATCTGATGCATCTCCCCCCCAGCCCAGATCATAGTAAAGCCACTGAAACCACTAGGATTGCCTCCAGGCCAATTGCCCCCACCCTCCACCCCCAATTCTCCTCTCCCTCTTCCTGTCAGCCTCCAGAAGCAATGGACAGCCATCATCCCTGCCCTGCCCGTCCACAAATGTGGGAGCGGATGGCTAGCACAGCTCACATGTTGCATGCACAAGGACACGCAGGGAGAAGCCGGTGGTGGGCACAGAAAATCAGAAGAGGGGCAGAAAGGGTCCATCTGGGATTATATTTACAGAGTGTAGCAAGAAAAACAAACAAAACCACATTAATACTGCATTATGATTAATGTTGCTTTAGATTTAGTATAACTATGTCTCTAGGAATCCCCGGTGACTCAGATGAAACAGATTGTCCAAACTCCACATGGTCGATTTGGCTCCTTTGTCACCTGCTTGTTCTTTCTCTGTCACCCCCACCCCACTCCACCCCCAGCTACGGAGTACCACCTTGGTCTGCTGAAGGCCAAGCTTGCCAAGTACAGAGCTCAGCTTCTAGAGCCTTCCAAATCGGCTGCAGCCAAAGGGGAAGGCTTCGATGTGATGAAGTCGGGGGACGCCCGGGTGGCGCTGATCGGTTTCCCTTCTGTGGGTAAGGTCAGTGCCAAGCCGAGAACGTGGACTCTTTGGGGCATCTTCTTTGAAAACAAGTCCTGCTGCTTTCTAAACCTCTGCCTTCTCTTTCAGTCCACTTTCCTGAGTTTAATGACTTCCACGGCTAGTGAAGCAGCCTCCTACGAATTCACCACACTGACCTGCATTCCTGGAGTCATAGAGGTAAGCGCACTTTTAACAGCTTCCCTCTTGCTGAATTAACCCAGAGCAGATACTGATGCTTCTTATGAATGTGTAGCTCACACAGGCTAGTTAAATTGGCACTCTGGTTCACGTGAGACGATCGCTTGATCCTTCATGCGGTGGGTTGCTTTCTGATCCCTCCCCGCCCCTTCTGATTTTTTCTCAATTTATGCGCAGTACAAAGGAGCCAATATCCAGCTTCTAGATCTTCCTGGGATCATTGAAGGAGCTGCTCAAGGTTGGGATTTCCTTCTGCTTTTTAACTGCTAAATAGATCACGGGTTTGTTGTGGGGGAAATAAGAGGAGGGAGGCGTATTGCATATGTTCACTGCCTTGAGATACTGGCCAAAATAATAAAAGGTGGGATAGGGAGAAATAAAAAAATAAGGAAGTCATATTGTTGAGAAGTGTCAGATGTGGGGCGGAGGGGGGGGGGGAAGCTGCACTTGAACTGTTGTAGGAGGAAGCAATCTTTTTTTTTAAATTTTTTCCAATTTTTCATTTTATCAATTTCATATATACATTCACAATTATATGATCTCATNGAACTGCAGTCAGCTGAAGTAGCCTGCAGTGCTGCACTCTAACCACTACGCCACCTTGGCTCTGCAAGGCAGCCTCTCTGCTCCGCTCTGGGGGAATCCACACAATGCCTGAGAATCAAAGACACCCATCCTGGCCGGTGTTTGTGTGTGTGTGTGCATAATATCCCCTTGTAACCAAAGGACAATATGCATAGGGAAGGACACTGAGCCGAGTTGGAACCGGAGGGGAGAATTAATTAGAAGCAGCTACCTGATTCCTCTCTCCTGAGTAATGGAGTGAGTCACTGTTTAATAGCCACTCCACCATGACATCCAACTCAGGTGCGTTTATCACTGTCAAGAGGTGGCCTTTGCAGATGCAGAAGGAAAGCCAGGCGCCACTTGCAAACCCCCAACCTTTTCCTAAGTGGAAAGGACGGCTGGGTGGGCAGGAAAAACAGGCTGGAAGGAGGGGTGGGTTTCAGCCTAAGTCAGACCTTTCCCCATGCCATGAAATGCCTTCCGTGAGCTGCTGCCAGCTCTCAGCTGAATCCACCTCTGGGGTTGCTTGGGGGGGGGATTCAAAGAGGGACGGGGAGATTTGGGGAGCCTCTCTTGACTTTCTCCTGGTCTTTCCACCAACTTCTAGATGCACTGCATTCACAATTTGCAATCAGCAACCAATCCAGGAGAGGCGAGCTATGACGGCGTGGATGACTTGACTCAACTAGAGTAAGTATTTGAAGGATGGGTTCTTGTTGGAGACAAAGGGGTGTCCTGTCCACTCCCGAGAGATAGACAGCTGTCTTGCTCAAACCTGGCAACCTGAAGATGGGTGAACTTCAAGGCCCACAATCCCCCAGCCAGCACATACACAGAGAGATACATCCCCCCCCCACCCCCAGCCCATGTATATCTTAGGTTTTTTTCTGTTCAGCTCCTCTTGTAGTGTTTTGGGGTGGGCCAAAATTAAACAAAAGATGTATGAAAAGAAGGGAAGACCACTTATGGGAGCATCTTCCACACTGGGCCGATTGAGTCCTTCTTACTAATCTCTCTACTCTTATGTAGAGTGCAGCCTTTTTTCATCATTCACCTGAGCCAGGTGAGGCTTAGAACCCTGCTACCTACTAGTTTAACAGGAAGCAAAGCTTCCTCTCTCCTGTGTCTCTTCATCCCGTACCTTTATCACAGTGTTTCTCAACCTTGGCAACTTGAAGACGTCTGGACTTCAACTCCCAGAATTCCCCAGCCAGCGGATGCTGGCTGGGGAATT